CCCCAATACTCCCTTCTCCCCCCCACGCTCAACCCTTTTCCCATCTCAATCCTCTTCCTAATCCCAACCTTCCTTTTCTTCCCGGAGATGAGCATCCCCAGGGCTTATCTCCCCACTCGAGGAGGGGTTTTAGTCGGGGAATGTTACTTTTCTTAACAAGGGGGGATTCAGTAGTACACGCCCTGTAGAGTAAAAACACGCTAATCTAGTCTGGATATCATTAGTTTAATATTTGAAATAGAGATTTGAAATTTTGTAGGAAGATAAACAAGGCTTTGTTCTAACGCCTCTCAAAGGCCTTTCTTTATTTTTTTCATTTCTATTGGAAATATATGTCCTACAAAATGCATCAACTTTAAGTACCTTTAACAACTTTTAATGATCAAATTATTGAAAACCGAGAATGTACCGAGTTACTAACTTTGGTTTTAAATAAACTATTTTTTTTATATGTGTACACCTAACAATAAATAAAACCGTCTGTCTCAATAAGTTTACGCCATTTGTTTAATTATTATTATTACCTAAAACCTAATGGGTATGTTTGGAATGATGCTGTGTATCACTTTTTAAAAAAAAATATGATCGCAAAGCGTAGTTTAGTAGCTGTAAAACTTATATGTATGTACAATCGTTATTAGACCATCTTAATTACTTTCCGATCTATTTCCCAACACGTACCAGCGCCATCGATTTGAAGTAACATCGGAATACACATGGACAAATATTTACGAGTATTTATCCGCATGTACCCATGTAATTAGTTTGCGTCATAGAGATCTGCCTACATGCTGTAAAAAAGTAGTTTGGCAACGCAATATTTTTCTATCGTTAATATTTTTCCTTCTTTTCCTTTCGTAAATATCTCAAGTTGCTGTTGGTCGGTTTGTAGTGAACGAACTGAAATAATTTTTTTTGCCTTGGCACCAATGCCAAAAACAGTCCAATTTAAAATAATGGAACAACATAAGATGGAATTTTGAAAATGTGGAAATCAGGTGGATTGGCCATGGATCAAAATGCGGATCAGACAGATACGAATTTTCATAAACAAAACATTAGAATATTCTATGAATAATGAGGCGGTTTCAAATCAAGAACACTTTAATCTTCTGCTTTCTTCTTATTTACAAACGGGTCTACATGAAAAGCCGTCGAAAATGGCTTAAAGATATTAATAAAGCAACTGTTGTCTTATGCAAATGTACATAAAACTCAGTTTTAATAATTTTTTTTTAACATAAATATAGATACGTATAAAAAAAAGTGTAATTGGGCCTGATCGATGGATAACTTAAGGACTTAATAACATCGGTGGTTCCTTTTTCTTTTGGGCTAGCTTATTACTTAAGAATCTGAGCAAAATTTGATGATGATTTTTTAGAGAGAATTAGAGATTTCGTAGTACGCTTTGTTTTCGAAAATTTCACTCAGTTATACTGAAAATCAAACCAAAAGAGTGTAGATATATAGTTGAATTGCATTGGAACATGTCAGATATGATCAGGCTTTCAATGAAAGAATTCAAAGCTGATTTGTCTATTTATGAAGTACAGAGAATCCTCTTATAATGACATCGAAGGGAAATAACAAACACGTCATACTAAGCGGGAGTCATACGAAGCATACTCTTAGAAAACAAACAACTTTCTAATTTGGTTAGTTATTTACATTAATAGAGAGAAAAACTACAAATTGTATATATTTTGTGACAGAAAAAAAAAGAGCGATGACTTGTAATGCTAATATACATAAGGATTAGAAAAATGGGCGAAAATGTTATTATTAATCATTTGGGTCACTATAGCCGGATATGATTTCTTGAGAATCAGTCATAATAAACGATATGTCATTTTAAACGGNTAGAGAATTTAATATGAAAATCAAACTTAACACTGCAATAACTTCATATTAAGCGGTTGTTTAATACAGGCGGAGTCATAATAAACAAATTCCACTGTATTCTTTAGTAATTTCTGCTTGAAGTAGGACATAAACTTTACCAATTACCAATATACATACAATATGACAGAATTATGGCAAAGAACCGTAAATTTCTTGGGAGATTTTCGTTATATTTATTTAGTTACATCACTGACGAATTTGAAGAGTCTTTCGTAATAATTCTAAAAATCTCGAAGGTAAACCGTCGCTTTCAATGTGTTTTGCTTGTCGAGGGCGTCGATTATTCTACGGAACCGGTGATTGAACGACTTTTTGATGCCACCGGATGGGAGTTTTCGAAATAAGGCTAAATATACAACGGAATGCACCGGCGAACAATACACTTACACTTATGAAGAAGATAATAGTGATGCACAAAGTAACACTTCTTCTCTTGCTTGTTAACCTCTTCCTAGTTAACTTCTTGATTTAGCAAGATTGGATTGATTCTTGCCTTGCTGGCTAGAGTCTTGCTATTTTTTCTTCTTGTTTACTTTGATTTCCTTAAATTCGTGAAGGAAGGATTTTGAAGGACAGAATAATTTAAAAGTGCAAAGGCATATTAGTTATTTACTACTAACGTTTTGTACAGACGATTCTTAAAATATACTGTTAAGGAAGCCAAAGTTTCATCACCGAACTGAGAGTTTTTAGAATTCTCAGAATTTTAAAGGTGTTCATTTTCTATTTTTGTATCTTAATATTTTGTCATTTGAAACTTGGTAGCTTCTTCTCTTCGATATTACCGCACATTTGGATTCACAATTGAATTTTAAGGTGTTTATTTATTGCTCATATACATTTCATTATTATACTTCGCTCAAAAGAAGAACTGATACAAACTTATACTAGTCATTTTGTATAGTTTTTAGATAAACAAAGTTCTTATTATTTTATTATTACATTAGTGTCAAATTTGTGATGTGACAACATAATTAGTTTGGAAATTATTGTCAGGAAGTGAATATTTGGTTTAAAAACAAAAATAAAAAAGATCAGATTGTGCGTATTCTACAGTTATAAGCAAAATTGGTTGCCAAAACCTTTCAGAACCGCTGCAAAATTCGAAAGTAGAATAGTCATATGGACTCAGCAGCGCCAATTCGTCGCTAACCATAAATAATTTGGTGTAGAACATTGCGTTAATGTTATTTAATTTAATTGTAGCAGGTGAAACTGGAGTTAGTGCTACTGAAAAGACCAGGAAGATTAGATTACTGTTCGCAAATGTTTAAGGATGTCAGATGTTCTAGTTTTAGGAAAATGCGAAGATTTGCTCAGGATATCAAAAGGTCTTCAGCCAGAAGACTGTTCATGCATCTTTACATCTTTCTTTTCTAATAGGAGTAAAGAAATAATTAAGGATGTGGAATGTTCTTGTTTTAGCGAAATACGAAGATTAGCTCAGGATAGGAAAGAATGGAGGTGCGTGTCCAACCAGTCTTAGGATTGACGACCTGATGATGATGAGTATAATAATAATTTCAATTAGAGACTGTTCGAAATTCAACTGAGTTCAGATTAATGAAATGTCAGACACTTGCCTCCATCACTTCCATTGGTTGAACTCAGAATGGCCGATGATCACTGATCAGAATACCTACATACGTATGTCTTAAGCAAGTCATGTACTTTCTCCTCGTATCTCTACTGATCTTGCCTGCACCAATGCCCAAACTCACTTATTAACTTGACGCAAAACAATAAACAATTGCTTTTGGGACTGTAATATACAGTCCCAAAAGCATGAAGTGGGCTGTGCGGGCGACGCGGGTGAAAGGATAAGGAAGTTTTTCTTTGTAATATTATTAACTGATGAAGACTAAAAGGCGTGCCAAAAATCGTATTCTATTCCACCAAGTCTAGGCGTCATATTGGTATCAGGGATAATAATTTCATAATCTGTAACCAGATTAAATAATGGCTGCAACGTAGAGAAGTAAATATTAGAAAGGGAGTCAGACAGGGATGCACACACTACCACTGTAGGGATAGATATACAGGGTCAAAAGATTAGTATCCTTACATTTGCAGATCATATAGCTGTATTAGCATCTAGCAAGGAGGAGTTAGAGATAGATTTAAATAAAATGATAAAATTACTGACAAAACAGTACTGTATGAAAATAAATAAAAGTAAAACAAAAATGCTGGTATGTAAGGGAAGAAAAAGTAGGGAAAGAGCGAATATAAAGATATGAGACGAAGAATTAAAAGAAGTGGCTGATTTTAGGTATCTAGGAAGTCAGATAAGTCAGGACTGAAGGAGTAGTACGGATATAAAGCAGAGGATAGCACAGGGTCGAGTTGCCTTCAATGAAAAGAAGTCACTTCTATGCTCGCGAACGATTAATTAAGAAATTCGAAACATATGGTTAAAGGTATATGTTTGGAGTTCGGCGCTGTACGAGTGCGAAACATGGACAGTGGGCGCGGCGGAAAAGAAAAGGTTAGAAGCTTTCAAAATGTGGTTTAAAGCAGAAGAATGATGAGGATACCGTGGATAGAGAAGGTTAGAAATGAAGAGGTATTAGAATGTGAGTCAACATGAAATAGGCGAGATAGGTTGGTGGGACGCCTTTTCAGGAGAAACGGGAGTTAGGAGGAGTAGAGGTAGACCTAGATTAGAATACTGTTCGCAAATAGTTAAGGATGTGGGTTGTTATAGTTTTAAGGATATGCGAAGATTAGCTCAGGATAGGAAATAGTGGAGGTGCGTGTCCAACCATTCTCAGGACTGACGACTTTATGATGATGACATGATGTGCGAGATTGCTTCCCGACCAGTCCCAAGAACGTCGAAATGGACATTAAAGATGACGCGAGTGCATTTGGTGAGTGATAGAAACAAGCGCACGCACAAACAGCTGGCGACCTTCCATAGTCATAAGTGAAAATAAAAATAATTCACTACTTCCCGAACTCAAATAGACGAGAACATAAGAACGTGTTAATAATAACTCCGGGTGCCGTCGTCGAGTTCCAAATAAGGTTCAATCTCGAGTTACAACGACCACCAAATGCAGAATATACGAAGGCAGCGAGCGCCGCGCCGCGACGCTAAAGCTATTTCCGACGCTGCGCGCCTTCAAAGGAAAATCTCGCAGTAGGCGATTTTCTTTGCCAGTCACACTCGTAACGGCTGGAACTGTAACTGTATTTTATTTATCGGCACGCGACGCCTCGACCACCTGATATCGATTAAATCATTTAATAATAGAGACAGAGAGAGGGATTTGATCGATTAAATAATTGATCCGATCGGATGCGGTATGTCACACGAATGCGTCGACGCAATAATTGACAATCGCAATTGACAACAATAAATTTAACAAAAAAGAGTGCTACAACAGTAATTGTATGTGATGTGACAACAATATGTAACGCATTTATTTGTGACAATTGAATATCGTGCGCCGCATCATAACAATGAACCATTCAAATGTCAAAACATTAAGAATATCATTATGATTTTTAAATTTAGTGCATAATGATTTACTTATTCGTGTGTTGAAGATGCGAATGCTTCTTATACGCATAATCCATGATTTATAGTTTCCTTTTTTAAACATTTCCGTTCATGTTTCCTGGAATACTCATCGTTAAAATATGAAAACGTCTGTGATATAAATGAAAATACAGAAATAAAAGACAAATGCATAACAGTAAGTGATCAGTACCTAATTGTACTTACTAACCACTGTTTTTGTTTTGTTATTTTGCTTGATTTTAATTAAAACAAACAAAAGGATAAAATAGAATAATATTCATCGTACTTTCCAGTAACTTCTTGGCTTTTACATTATTTGATTCAATATGAGAAAGTACAAGGTCTAATTTTAAATAAGAAAAATATATTTGTACGATATACTGAATGAAATATAATAAGAAATTCATACAGTGAGTTCAAGTCAACTGATTTTATAAAATTTGTATAAAATAAGGGTTCTGAAATGATGAAATTACAATTTATTGTGTACGCATCAAGGGAATAATGCATCGCATTCCTGTCGCAAGGATTTTTTCCCGAAGTCCATATACGACTTTTTACATGTCCCTCCCGGAAGTACGATTTTCTCTGGCTTCTAAAACGAGAAAGTACATCATAACGTCGCAGGTATGAAATCGCATTTAGTGTTAATTTATTATGGAAATTGCCATCCGAGCCGAAGAGAGGGTGGAAACAACACGAAGGATGGTAGGCATTTCCCAATAAGAAGAAAATGTGAATTCATACTCTCGAGGAAATGTTGCGCTTTCGGAAAAACATTGTACAGTTAGTAGGGGAATGATAAAAACAATTTTTATCGACAATTATAAAAAGTTTAAATGTTTTAACGGGAATGAAATATATTTATCAAGGGAGGATTAAAATACATATGCAAATACTAAGAAACAAGAATATATTGGAATGTAACGATTTTTGTTAGATATCAGAGTCAACAGGATAAACAATTGTTAGACGCTTTTTGCAATTACTGCCTCTAATAAATAATTAACAATTAGACGATGCTTCATTATGTGTGTAATTTATGAACGTTGCTATTAGATGGACACAATTAGAAATGATTATGGTTATTGCCAACAATCTTCATTTGATAAAAGCAATTAATGAAATTAGAAATGTTAGTACAAGTAGGAGATACTTGATATACTATTCTGCTAAGTGTTTTCTAATATTCCTTTATTAATTATGTTATATCCAAATTAATGCATTGGATCTAGAAATATTTTGACATTTTCAAAGAGTCTGCTGCTTCTAATAGATCGATATTGATAGATTTGTATATTTATTTACATATCTGAAGTCTCATTAACGCTTAATGTAGAACAATAATAAAAGTGAGCTCCTGTTTTGAAATGAAGATAGAAATCGAATATTCGTTAATTTTTATTAATGTTTAATTAAATTCCAATCGACTTTAATTGAAAGAATTGATTTTTGTAAACACTTAGGTATTCATAATTGATAAACCGTTTCTAGTGTGTGTGCGTGGGAAGCAGAAAATTGCTTACCGAAATTTATGTGAACAATTGGTATTTGTGTGTATTTAGTGTATTTATATTCCTCGTTTGAACGCTTCCGATAAATGACCTTGTCTTTTCATTAATTGGAAGTCTTATCCCATTGGTGGATCCAAATGGAAACAGCAAAAAGAAACCATTTCTCTTCCCTGTCAGATTCCAAACATTTCTAGTAAATGGTTTTAGGCTAAATCACTTCCTAAAAGAATTAGATACGCCCTTGAATAGCATAAATATTCTCTGTGTGTTGTTTTATTAGTAACAATACATTTCATTTATACACATAAGTAATTAAGTAATTTAATTTTGTAATTTTTTTTGCAGAGAAAATTAATATGGATTCGGAGTTAGAAGACAGGAAGGATCCGAACTCAGAGATGACAGTGTCTATTTTGAGAAGATCCCCTACCCCCAATCGTGATTGCCCATCTGTTATGACTCAGTATGTCCTACACTCTTACTTATGTTTAACCATTCCTTCACTTACATATGTGCATACACATGTTATGTAAATAACACACACGTCTAATTAAATATAACTCTTGCGATTGAATTCACTTTAAAAACTGGATTGTGTTTCTATAAGGTAATTTGTAAAAGTAGTGAAACTACATTGTGTCATCTTATTCAAACTAATTATCAAAATTTAGAAATGACAAATCTTCATCAAAACGGCAATGGAGGAGCAAGTTTTTCTTTTATTATTATTACAGTAGTCGATATCAATAAAGAACACATTTTAATTATAGATTTAATTTCATTTGCAGACAAAGTAACGATTCCAGTCCATCTTCGTTAGAAAGAATGAAACTGGAATCTTACATCGAGAAGATAATCACTGAATCACCTCAGTCGTCAGATTCGACTGAGGATGAGCCTTCATCAGGCCAATCTGTGGACAGAAATCCTTTCGATTTCAGCGAAGCAAAGTCTCCTTCCGTTAGCCACATTCAATCAGTTGACACCAACGAGTCAATTAAGAATTGGTTGCAACGAATAACTAATATGCAAAATGAAATAAACCGAAAATTAACATCTGAAGCAGCTTCTTCGCAGACAACTTCCAACGCCTCATGTTCCGACTTTATGACCAGAAATATTTCTTCTTCGAGGTCTTCAAATATTCATCATCAGTCGGAGAAGATAGTGAGGTATCAAGATTTGCCTTATATGGGTGAAATGACATTGGACAACACGAAACCGAGACGCGGTAGAAAGCCCAAGAAAGCCGACATTTGCCATTTGATTTATAAGAATTATGGGACCATTTTTCCTGGAACGCCCGAATCAAAAAACCCAACTGATCGGGACAACAAAAAGAAAACGACTGATAACAGTAATTTGGATAAAGGCAGCTTTTTACCCACTTCGCTTAGCAAAACTGACGTCCAAAATAAGATAATAAGCAGTTTACTGGAAAAAAGACTGACACAAGAGACCAAGAGGGTTTCCGAGAGTGCGCGGAAGACAGCAGAAAGTTTGGGCAAAGCGGATGATAACACCAACGAACCTCTTAATCTTTGCATACGTGACATGAATCAACTAAAAATAAGATTACAAAAGAGGCATTCGTCAAGTGCTTCAACGAACGTTCTTCCAGAGTTGAAACACGAACTACCTAGTGATGACGAAAGTGAAGCAGCTAGTGATACTGTGTCCTCCCCATTTTTTCCTGACTTAGGCAATACGAGATTAGGTTTCCCAAATAATTTATCTGGTTTTGGTGAAGCAGACATCAGCAAGGTGTCTGAAAACGGAGTTCAACCTGCTGGTTACATTTACTGGCCCCATGCCGGGGTCTTCATCCATCCCATGGCACTTCAACAGCATTTACTTTATTACCAGCGAATGGCAGCCTCGAATAACTACACCCTACCAAGCCATAGTCCCAGACCGCCACCCGAAGGATCACCTACCTCAGAAAAGTCATCTTCCAGTCTAAGGAAAATCAGACCTAAAAAGACCGAAGTTGAAGACGACACTACCCTTGACCAGAAAACGAAAAGAAATCTACCTTCCGCAGACAAAACCCCAACGAAAAGAAAACGGTCAGCCATTTTTATCCCCCCAATTCCTTCGGAGAACCAGAACAATCCAGCTACCGAGGTCAGCATAGGAAAATTCAAGTTTACAGGAGGAGCAAAGCCTACTCTTCAGGAGAAGAAAATGCTTTCGGTGGATTCAGGGGGTAACTTTCGTTACTATAGTGGCACCGGTGACAAGAGCATGAGGGGCTACGAATTCTTTCCCAGAGAAACGTTACAGCAACAGATCGTAAATGCTCAGGGATCAAGTACAGGTGCCTTTCTTCATGCCAGTGGTGAGAAGATATATCCAGGGAGTCCCGATTGTTCAGTCAAAAAAGGACCAAACGATTTTTTAATCTCTACAGATATTCCATCGTCAGCTCTAAGCCCTTCCAGCGAGGCAGCCCAAAGACAAAAGAAACGAAAATCCCGAAAGTCCCTTCAAAGGGAAAAATTGGAACAAACATTCAAAGAAAAGGGATTTCTCATACAAACTCAACAGTTGGAGTCAGCTGAAGGAGCAACTTATTGTAAGTTTCGTCAATTGAGGAAGTTCACCAGATACCTCTTCAGGAGTTGGAAAGATTATCTTCCAGGGAATGTCAGGGAACTTCAAGAAGGAGAAGAGGCAGAAGCTATGGATAACATTGAAGATTTTTCTAATTTTCAAGCTGACGGGCTTGTTAGTGCCAACATGAACTCGCCCATAAATTAAAATTAACCAAAGACTCCAAAATCCAGTGATAATTATTTTGTAATTTAATTCGAGAAGCTAATCGCAATGGTGCTAATATTGTTGTGACTTTAGGATTAAGACACGAAGTCTAGTCGTTTTTCTATAAACATAATATATATAATTACAAATGATTTGAAGAACATTTTTGTTTTATAATAAGTTACAACTGAGTACTGAAGTTATTACTTCAAACTTATTTTATGATAATAAACTATTTTGTTATTGCCAATGAAATTAAAGCATTTCTTAATGACACGTATCTTCTTTCTTAATTGCGAGTGAGTAAAAAGTGGAAAATTACAACATAATTTGCTCAAACTTTTCATTTGTTTATATTTATTTCATTCAATTCAAGTCTGACAGATGTCACATTGTGAAGGTTAGCTGAAATTGCTTGATACAGAATTAAATGGCAGATGGCGAAAGTGTTTACTTATTAATATGCGCTGTTCGTGATGTATTTAATACAAATCGGTCATTTTAAGATGTTTCCGATGACAAACGAATGTAATAAACATTCGCGAGCGAAGAACTCGTTGTTCAGGACGGAAAGAGACGCGATTATCCTTGTTGAATAATGTTGTGTTAATCGTTGAAATTAATTAGTTATAAAGACGGGAAGTGACGGGATTTTGAGTGCGGGACTTGGGACATTTTCATGGTACCGGTTTGAAGGATCATACAAGTGGAAGTGCGAAAGGTAAGTCATTATTTAATTGTAATTATATGGAGCTTTTATATAGTTATTTAATATTTGGTGTAATAACCAGATATCAAATGTACAATTATAGATACAAAATTAATAAACAAAAAGACAATCAATTTACAAGAAAGTTCACAAAAGTAGTGAAACAAGTAAGGAATTGCAACAAGTTCACGCATGTTCAGTAGGTATACATGCATTCCAAGCTTTTTATATACTTCTTGCGATAAAGTAAATGTATAAAAAGCTCTGAATGCATGTACATATATCTCTTTCTCGCATTCGCTTCTTATTTATCTGTCTCACTTGTGTTTCTGGAATATTCTTAACGAAAATATTACTTAGATACACGTTGTTTTTGTGTAAGAATAATCTTATTTATGATGACGAAAGAGAATTGAAATAAATTTCAAGAAAATAATTTCAGACGTTCCTATTTAGATTTATTACTTATGACATATGAAAATTTTTTAGCAGAAAACTGATTATATGATTTGATAGCAAAATTATAAGACCGTAAATCATGCATAGAATGTAATGTATTGTGTTAATTAATTATCTATATTTACAATTGGGGTAGTGGGGGGCTCCAGCCCAATTTTAATAAAAAATTTTTTAACGATCGGAACGTATTCTTCTACCTAGAATTTAGTAAGGTGACCATACGTCCCGGATTGGCCGGGACAGTCCCGGATTTCCATCTTGCGTCCCGGATTCAGTTTTTTTGTCCCGGATTGTCCCGAATTTTTGAAAAGGCTCTTGTTTTCAATATTTATTTTAAATATACTTCAACTAGAATTATTTTTACAAAATTTGAACCGAAAAAATTGTGCATATCAAAATACGCGGCACGCTTTAAACCATTTGAAGCAAACAGTGAACTCTCGATTCTGCGAATCCCCTTCCACCTAATCCTTAAATAGTATTTGTTATGTATTATTTTTATTAAAAAAATCATATTTAAGTTATTTAACTTAACTACCCCCCCTCGCTACAAGTTCCCGTCTCGGATTTGAAATAAAACAATATGGTCACCTTACCTTTCTGCGAAAAGAATAGTACATAAGGTACCTAAAAAAAGTAACAATATTAAAAAAAATTAGTTTGTCGCAATGTTTTAACCATGTGTTATCCGGACTTAGAAACAAAGAAAATTTACTTCGAGGGCATTCTCGTAGATCTCTTTTTTCAAACAGTAATATTGTTTTTTTATAATTAGTGTTAAAATCTAGTGAAGCAAACTGAAAATTTGAGAAATAAAAACTGTTTCGAATATATTAAAATTACTTTAAATAGTTTAATTCATAAATCCACCATAAGTCATAATTTTTCGTTTAGTCTGCCTTGCGTATTTAGTCTAGGTTTTGCTCGTTCGGTATTGATCTTGCTAGGCCAATTTGGTAATCACTATTTAGGATGAAGAAGAAAAAACTCACCACAGTCATAGTTAAGTAATATTTTTTATTTCAATAATATTATCACTGCAAAGATGAAGTACAAGCTTCAATTCTAGTAAAGTATTGCATCAAAAGGTAAAATTTCAACTACCTACCGATACTCTTATCACTTATGTATTTTGTGAGCATGCTTCTAATCTAGTCAAAATGAAATTATCATTATTTACAATATTCTTTAAAACTTTTAAAGTGAAAATAGTCAGTAACAAAAAGTGACTAGGTAACAATAATAATGATAATAATACTAATCTAGTAACATTTTTAATAAGTATTTAAATATTCAACTGTACTTAAACTAATTCACTTTACAAAAATACTGTCTACAGTCATTTAAAAATCACAAAAAATTGGAAAATAAGCGTAATATTCGTAAGTGTATACGTACATACCGGGACCGGACAAAAATTAAAACGACAAAGTTTATGTTTTGCTTTTTCAATTTATATCCCATCCCTATCGTAGATACAAATGCTGTGAGACAATTTAACAAATCGATAGATTAGATATACATAATAGAATGCACTACTTGTACAATTTTCGATTATTATTAATTATTCAATAATATTAATAATAGTATAATTTAACAATAAGGAAGTTACATTCGATAGAGGCCACTACGGTATATGATTGGAACCAGAAAAATGTAGGGCACTTAGATAAGAAATTTGATCCTAAAACTACTTCGTTCTGTCCAAAAAGGCGACAACGTTTTACAAAAGTGATTCGAGAGGGAAAGGCCATAGGACGATAAGCAAAGTGAATCGATCTCAGAGGTATATCTGGATTATTTTTGTAGGATATATTGGTACTAATGAGATAGCTACTCCTGAAAATTTTAGACTTTTATCTATTTTGATTTCTGAATAAATCCAAAAAGCGGAAAATCAGAATATATTTGTTTTCTTAAAATCAGCTTAACCGATTTCAATCAAATTTATATACATTATAGAGGTATATAAGGGCTATACTCGGAAAAAATAACAGCTCATAATCTTTATAATAATCATTNGAGAGGGTAAAACGGTTGAAAAAGGACGAAAATGAACCTTCATAAGAAAATACATGGGATTTTGAGGCCGAACTGTCATAGCCTATCTACTATCAGGCTAATAATATTTTCCAGTAAACGGCTAGAGCGACAATATTTTTGGATGTGGTAACAAATTAGCGATAAATTAGTGACAAATTCGAAATATTACTTTGTCGTGCTAGCTTGATATATGTACGTCTTAAGTTTTATTCATATTAATTTTTTTTTTGAAATTCAGCTTGTTAATTTTTCTGAAATTTTAATTGCAATTAATTTATCATTTAATGAGCAATTGTTTGCCAACAAAAAAATCCTATTTAAGCGATAGTTGCTATAAGTGGGTAGGTAGATCGACTGTATATTATATGCCACTGGGTAGGGTAACAATTTGGGTAATTCGGCCAAACAAGTGATATTGCCAGTTTTTAATAATTATTACAAATATTATGAGCTGTTATTTTTTCCGAGTAAAGCCCTTATATGTCTCTATATTGTGTATAAATTTAATTCAAATCGGTTTAGCCGTTTTTGAGAAAAAAAATATATTCTGATTTTTCGCTTTTTAGAATTATTCAGAAAACAAAATAGATGTCTAAAATTTTCAGGATTAACGTATCTCATAAGTACCAATATACCCTTAAAAAATAATCCAAATATCCCTCTGGGGCCGATTCACTATACTTATCGTCCAATGGCCTTTTGGGGGAATTCAGCCTTCAAACAAAACTATTAATGAAAAAAAGAAACTCAAAAGTCAGTAGCACGATTATGAGACAGAACTCATTTTCATTGAAGATTAAACGTTTCGCCATACAATGGTCATTTTTCAGCAGTTTCTATTACTTTTATTGTCAGAACTACTGAAGAGGTCGCAATCGAGTGACGAAACGCGTATTCCTCGGTTAAAATAAACTTGTAGTGTCTTTTACATTTATTCAAAATATATCAATCTGGTACTGTCTTGTTGGCATTAAAGTAATTGAAAAAAAAAAAACAAAAATCGAAATCCGAAATTAAAACAATTTTCACAAAAACAACAGCAGGTTTCCTAAGAAAGTTCTAATTCAGGAACTACTTAGTAGCTGAATTCCCACGAAGGGTATCTTTACTACTTTTATTCTTGGTATAATTACTACTGACAAACAATATACTTATGTACTCTTTACATATGATTTTTGTGCTGTGTTTGTCAACTACGTGGACTAAAAAGTATTACTATTTGTGATACACCGTGCGATATCCTTTGTGTAACCGTTAAATATTGTTTTACAGTACAATTGCTGTACCTAGTTAAGAAAAATAAAACAAAATCTATATGATAGTGAAATGAAAAAAAGAAAAATACCGAGTTTTGATACTCGTTAGATACGTGTAGGAAGACGAAATGCAATATAGATATGTGACAGATAAAGGCCTAACTTCGTAAAAGATATAAATCAATAGAATGAGTATGAAAACTGTGTCGCCTTTATTTTTGAACTAGTATAAGTGATGTATGTACATCAAACGTTTATATTGCCTGTGTTTTAGAATTTACACATTCGTTTACTATTAAAAGTACACAAGTAATAAAAATAGAAAATAGCAGGAAGTCTAACACACCGTTTCAAAGTTAAAAAATTTGGTCCAATGCGACATTTTTATAATTATTATTAAATATGTAGTGTTAGTGGAAAATCAGTGGCATAATGCGGTAACGGCGGTGACCGTTTGCAATATTAATTATTAAAAAACCCCTCTATGTTTATTTACCTATAGCCAGAAGAATAATTTCTACAAAATANAAATTGTAAATTTTTATGGAATCACCTTGAAATTTGAGATTTTCTTTTAGTTTTTGCACATTCAATTGAATTGTAAGTAAAACGGTCCCAATTCTCTTTTGACGAAATTTTGATATAATATATATATATAAGTTTCTTCAAGTATGTCATAACCAAGTTTTACCGTATTTAATTTTACGTATATGAAGTTAGGATGACCTTTTTTCTGAACTACACTATAATTTGTCGCTAATTTGTTTTCATATGTAAGAATTTGTCCGTCTGT